TTGGAGACAACTTTATAAACAAGAAACATAAGGAGGCTTGTATTAAGCATCTGTACAGGTAAAATAAGGAGTTAGACAAGCTAGCTCATGGCATAATGGCTGCAGATCTCTGGCATGGCAAAAGCAAAGAATCTTGCCCAGCACACTTGTTGCTGTAACTTTTTTCAATGGTTAGTCTGGATTTCTTAAAACCAACATTGTTCCTGTGCTGACAGACCCAACAAACAACCATTCAGAAAAATCTCTTCAAATCCATAATTGAGAACAGAGCTGCCTCTCTTGTGTGTTGTTGACTACAAAAGGATGTATTTAAAGTAAAAGTGACTTGGAAAGGAGAATATAGTATGGTCAGCTCACTCTTGAATAAAAACATGTTTCTCTCAAATTAAAGCCAGGCAGTGCCTGCCAATTCTCCGAAGCTATGCTGCATGTTACAGCGTGAAGTTAGAAACACAACTCCTTCAACTGAAATATTGCTGAAAGGAAGGTTCTGTGGCTAGCAAATAAAACCTCCTTTGGAGCCTTGTGGGCTGGCGGATCATTTTCTTGATGTACCAGAGGGATTGACTGAAACACCTCATTTTTTGTAGCAGTATGTTGGCACTCGATGCTGAGCGCATAGGAGAACTTGGTGATTGAGGGCCCCTCTGAGGGATGCCGCGGCAGCCGAGCGCTCCTCTATTAACACAAAGAGCTATTTCAGTGGTGCAAGATGACACGCTTCTTCCTGCCACTGAAAACAGATTTTTCATTGCAAAAATTACCTGAGCTTGACATTGTGAAATTACTTCCTTATGCTCTCCGCACTATAAAAGAAGCCCAGCCGAACTGGGAAGGATACATCCTCGCCTGAGCTACACGCAGCAAACAGCTACAGGAGCCCAGAGCCTGGTAGCAGGAAATGTGTGGGAAAGCCATCTGGTGAAGCCACTTGGAAACAGTGTGAAAGTCTTTTTTTCATTCACTTCCTGACAAAGTAGTAATATGTTGCCTTGTTATAGGAAGAGGGCTGCTTGTTGTTGTTTGCATTAGGAGGTCCTAGAAGCCCAAAGGTGGGGCTAGCACTCTTGCCATGTTAAGTGCTGTGAGCACATGTAAGAGGAGACCTTTCCCTGTACCCACTCCCTCCAAATTTTATAACACAAAAGGACAGAAAGCATAGGAGATTTTTTTTTTTCCAAATGGGGAACTGAAACAGATGGGAGAGACTGAAGGAGCTGGAAACAGAACACGCAATAATTCCCAAGCCTCGACTTTCTCGGCAAAACTGTACTTTGACTCCTGTACTTGATCTTGGAGCATTTATGGCGAGCGGTATGCACCTTGGCATGCTGCTCGCAATGTGCTCTGCCGTTCTCCTGGGTAAAATGGGCATTTAGCTTGGTGTGGACACACTGCTGAGAGTTACTACATGCTTTGCTGTGCTGAGGCAGGGGGAGGGAAATCAAATCAACACACAGAAGGGATTTTAATCATCGCTTAGCAAATTAGGATCTCCAAATAACCTTATTTTTTAAACTTAATCTTTGGCATCTGAATCACATCTTTCACTATGAGCTCCCAGTCCAGCCCACCTAATTTCCCCATGGTTTAATACTGTTATAACCCCAGGCAGTATCTGCTAAAAGCACAGAACCACACCAAAGGCTGTATTTCAAGAGGAGGCAAAGTTCCTTACAGCCTACTTACTATTATTAGATATGTAAAGTTCTCCTATATTATCATCTCATCTGAAGACCTCAAATTGTTTTAAGGACCTGATTTTAGCCTCTGGGCAACTCTTGAGGCAAGACTGTTATCCCCATTTTTAGAGACTGAAACAGACTTAGAATCCCTATCCTTGAGTTTTCCGTATCAGTCTTTGCAGAATTGAGGATGCATTTTTTTCAGCCCCATGCTTTAATTGCAAGACTGAGCTTTCCAGGTCCCTTTGCTATCCTTGTGCGGGTGTGTGGGACTGCATGCTTGGTGGTTAGCAATTGTGCCAGCTTTAGACTGGGAAAAAATATGTTCTTGGGTTGGCCTTTCATCTCGGGGGAAGGCAGGGTCAAAAAAATGTCCTAGAGTTTAATTAGTTGGTGAAGGAATATCACCACAGCAGGGAGGAGGGGTAGGATAAAGGAGATGGTGGATGCTGCCCTGCTTTGAGGTAACAGGGGCTGAAGTCCTGGGACCCCCGAAGGAGCGGGCAGGACTGGGTGGGCTGGTAGCTGGTGAGGCCGAGACTGTCATCTGACACAGAGCCCAGTGCCAAGGGAGTACCTTCCACAGGAGAGAGATGCTCAGGTATTGTGAAACTGGGCCACAAGGTGTTAATTGCTAAAAACTGCAGAAATTAAAATCTAAAGAGCTAGTACCTACTCGCGTAGAATGATTTGTACTAGAGAGTAACCTGTCTTTCTCTCCTGTGAGTAAAGCCTCTAGTAGGATGTAAAGTGTCAGACTGGGCAGAGTTGAGGCTCTGAATAAGTCTTTCCACTGCCTTATCCCAGACTTCTCATAGCCCTCTTGCTCCAAACAACCCACTGTGACACAACACAGGTGCAAAACGCAGAACCAGGAATGCAAAGAGGGTACCAGCAACACATCAAAGTTCACAGAAGCTGCAGCAGCACTTCTTTGTAGGTTTTCTTCCTCTCCCAGTGCTCAGTTCATGATCCCCAGCAAGACTCCAACCTATGGCAATGCAGCTGTAGGCAAGCACATCCATTCAGCTGTATTTGTCCTTTTTATTTACTGAAAGCCTAAGTAGCAACAGGAGCCAGGACTATGTAGGTGCAGGGTTTAAGCACTGCCACTGCCTGAAGGATGACATGAATGACCTCTTCAGAATAAGAGACCAGACAAATAAAACTGCAGTCGCGCTATGGAGCAGCAACTGTAACGCTGAGATCTTAAACAGCCTCAACCAAAGCCCTGGGTGAACGCCAGCAGACCGTTCCCAACTCTATTCCAATTTGCCCAGATTCTCATGACTCCAGCAAGACGGTTTACACCCTTGCTATATTTAAGTCACTAGCAAGTTTTGGCCAGGTGACGAACTCGATGAGCACCAAGTTGTGCCTCAGCAAGCGTAAGCTGTCTCTACCAGTTTCTGCCTCATCTGCATTGTAGAACAACAGTCCTCTTCTCCAAGCTGGCAACAGGGCTGGGCTGGAGCAGGGAGGGCAGCACTAAGACTCAACTTTTTCTCAGGATGTGGCAATTCTGAAGTGGGTGGATGAAGACTACTTCTGGCAGTAATAGGGAGCTAAGGGAACATGCTTGGACGTTGCATGCTGGTAGACCTAACCTGGTGGTTCCTTTGCACAAGGCTTAGCTGAGTGGGTCTTTGAGCATCTGGGCCGTGAGAGGCTCCTGAAGCTCCTTTAATCCTACATGGTTTAAAGCCCAAAGCAAGCTGTCTGGTTTTCCTCTCTTATCTGCTAGGCTGATCTTTCGGTTTCTGCTCATGCTGGGACCATAACAAATCTTACATTTCCCAGGCAGTGATGGAAATCGTGCATACACAGAAAATCATTGAGGGTGACCAAATCTGATGGGAGCGAAGTTCTTAGCCCTGGATAGGAAAACTGACACAACACAGGAGCTCTGCATGGGCTTGGGTGGAATCTCTCATCCATGTTGTGTGTGAGAGAAGCTCTGTCCAGAGAAGAGGTGAAAGATCTTCACTAGCTCATCTGCTACACTTGGGAGATACTACTTTAAAAACACGATAAACTTATCAGTGTTCCTGAGTTAAGGAGGTTTGGGGTTTTTTTGTTTGCTTTTGTTTTTTAAAGCCAGTTTAAAAAAAAATCCACAGACTAAGTCGCTTTTTCAGGACTTGACGAGAAAATTTATAGCCGAATGAGGAATGATTTCCTCAAGTGTCAGTACAGAGTGTTATACTCAAGACCTGCTCTTCTCACCTCCAGAGGCACAGCAAAGCTGCATACCCAGATCGAGTGAAGACAAGTGAAGAGACCTGTATATTTGGCCCACTGCAGAGTCTTCTGGTCCTAGTGTTATGACTGAGGTTTTGACCCTCCCTTAGGCAATCCCTGTGTCAGCCCCAAAGACTCACCCCTGACAGAATCTAGTCTGAAATGTGCTCTTACAACATTAGATGGGCCTCTTCAGCCTGAGTCTGTGGCGTGTTTTTGTTCTATGCTATTTTGGGGATAAGCAACTGGTGAGAAGAAAATGCTTTCATCTGCTGGAGTAACTGTGTTCTCAAGCATTAAAATTACGGTTCGTTCTAACTGTCCAGTGGGGAGAAAAAAACAAGGTTCTTCATTCTAGAAGACAGGTTCACTTCTGCGGGAGGGGGCAGAAACTGAAGTTTTTTGCTGTTAAAGAAACCCATGCTGGAAGCGTTCAGTCACTTAGGCTGATTGATGTAGCAGCCTCACTATAAATCCTCAAAGCAAAAATCCTAAAGAGCAAGTTGAGCGCTCTCTGCTGAAACATGCCATTCCAAGGAATTTCAGTAGGTTCCCACACATCTGACCATGGCAAAGTTATCTGCAGGGACACACTGTCGTAGAATGACATGGTATGTTCAATTCTACAACATCATAGCCAATATACATTAAAAAAAGGGAGGCCAGAAAAAGCTGTTCACCTCACGGTCACAGATAAGCTTTTTTCTTGTTGCTACATTTGTTCAGCCTACTTGTAAGTTAGAAACAGACTTTTTAAAATCAGTTTTAGATTAAAAAAAAAAAAAACAGTTGAGAGACATTTATGCAGTAAATGACCACTCAACCCAGAAACAGAACTGGTTTGCCAATGAAACGCAGCATTCTGTAAAGGTGTAAAATTCAGTTTAAAAGCAGCACGTTTTATAGGGACACCCACATAATCTGACCAAATGCAGAACAATTGGTTTTTTTTTTTCTTGAAAGAGGAAGCTTTCCCACTCATTTGCCTGAAAGGTGATTTCTAGCAGAGCTGCAAGCCCTTTCCCGTGACCGAGGTGACTGGGTGCCTGTGCTCCCCGTGCTGTGGTGACTCACCCTGCTGAGCTGGTCCAGGAGTCTTTGGTTCTGTTCGGAGAGTTCCTGGACGGCCCGTGTCTTCTCGCGGTCGGCTTCACGCAGGTGGACCTGCTGCCTCTCCAGCTCATCCTGCAGCTGCTTCACGTCGCTTTCCAGTTCAGACACCCTTCCTTCCCATTCTCCTTCTCTGTTCTCAAATCTCCTTCTCAGTTCATGTTTCTCTTGTTCTAGGTGCTAGACGGTAGGGAGGAGAAGAGGTTAGGAAGGGAGGAAAAAAGTGAATGCTGCCTCCTTTTCGTCCTCTATGCTTAGGGCTGAAACCTTTTGTGCAGGAAAGAGAATGGTGCTAGAGTGTGACAATGCCATGGAGGTGGCAATCCCATGTCAGGGCAGGTCACTGGCACTAAACTGCTTTCAGTTTTCCCGCAATTGGCCTGTCCTTGGCATCTGGAGATCAGCACATTGAATTTTTACTGAAACAACTGCCAAAAGAGTAAAGCAGGCTGCATGTCAATAGGCAGAATATATAGGTCAGGCTGGCCAATTGATTTGGCAGAGCCTAGCTTAACTCCAAAGCAGTTCAGTGGGCAGTGGCATAATTCATTTAAAAATTGCTTTTATAGTCCAAACTGCACAAACTATATCCTTACTGCTAATGAGGAATCTAGATGGGGCATCTTTCTTGTCATACGGGTCTTAGAACAACAGTTGAATCATCTGTCCATTTACTCCTTCTATTCCTGACCTAATTAGTTGTCTGGTAGTTTGACAGTGCACAGTAACTCTATTGTTTGATGCAGTCCGCTCTGGAATGGCAATGGATGCAATGAAGTAGTTGCTATAGACATCACATATGTGCATGTTCTGGGTTGCAGGTTTCTTAGAAACCACTCTCGGTTCTGGCGACTCTGCTCTGCTTAGGACTGGCTGGAAAACGAGGGACAGCACAAATCTGGTGGAACTTCTGCATGTTTTACAGGCTTAGTTTAATGAGGGCTTGACTGAAACGGAGCTGCAAATCAGGTCAAAACAGATTTACGTTGTGCCTCTTTGAAAGAATCCTTGCTCTGAAACTCTGAGCTTGAATTTCCCCTGGTGACCGCAGCCATGCGCGTACTTGCAGAACAATCACAGACTGGGGACACGGGCACCTCCCAGGAGCAGTAGGGAAATCTGAAGAGCAGAAGCCCTTTCCTTGTTGGTTGTCTTGTGTCCCCCAGAACATCCTGCTGCTGCTCTCTGTTGGATTCACCAGCCTTTTAGGAACGTGCCTTAGCAAAGAACAGACACCAACTGGGCCCAGCATTGGCAGCCCTCGCCCATTTTCCCAGGGTGTCATCCCTCGGTGAGCAATCCCCATGGCACCTATGACAGGAGGGGAAAAGGAACCTGCTGGGAGGAACAGAAAATTGCACTGCATTTATGTGAAGCGGCTTTTTATTGCTTGTTGGAAACACAGACTGAGGTGGGTGCCTACTGCTGATGACACACAGCCTCCCTGGCGGGGTCTCCACCACCTTCACGAGCAGGTCTGAATGTCAAAGCTCTCCACTTCTCCAGCAGCCCTCCGGCTTGTGTTATCACTAATCTTCCACCTCCTGCTCTGCAGAAGATGCCATGTTTTCTCTTTTTTGACCTTATCTCCAAATCCTTTCCTATGTTCCTTCCAACGCAGCATAGCAGCACCCTGCTCATGTCCTTCCAAATCCTTCTGCAAGTTCTGGACTTTCTAGAAAACCCTCAAACATGAGAGAAGGCTGATTAAAAAGACTGGCCCAAAGCAAAAGTATTTCCCTGTGTTTCAGACACTCAAAGAGTGAGCACCCCTTGCAAATGAGAGTGCTAAGTATTATTATAACTGTTTTTAATGCAATAGGTAGGCATGAGATCCCAGCACCAGGCCCATGACAACCATTGCAAAGAAATCTTGTTTGTAGCCTCAGTGCAGCTGGAGCAGCCACAATTTCACTTTCGGCGGCACATTGAAAACGCTGTCTTTTATAGCTCTGTCTCCTTCACTGCTAGGCAATGTTTAGAAAGATCCAGGGCCTTCTGTAAATGGAAGATGAAACTTCAGCCTGCTGAGGAGCAGCACTGCAGCTGAAGTTCCCCAGACATACTCAAATGTGATTTAGAAGCCACTGATAAGCCTTGTCAATCATTTAAAAACCACTTTAGTTCTTTACTGCAACAGAAAATTCACTCTATGTACAGCTCCAGTAAACGGCCATTGCACAGGCTGGAGTTAGAGGCAAAGAATATAAAGTTTATTGTGTGGCGGTGGAGAAACCAGGACAGTGCAGTGGGGCACAGAGGGAGGATAAACCAGACAGGACATGCTGCCTGATTCCTCTCCCAGCAGCCGTCTCCCCTCGCCTGCCCTCACCCCGGCACCTGCATGGCTGCAGATCCGGATGGGGGTTTTATTTCACGTAGCAATGACAGGGCCAACTGCTGCCCTTCGTAGGGGAGGTTTTCGTTTTGCAAGGGTCTCTCCATCCACCAGCTGCTCACTGATTCTTACACAGAGCTGCTTTCTAGAAGATGTCTTCTTCTGAAAACAGCTCCCCTTCAACTAAACTGAGCCGTGCTGCTCCTCATTTAAAGAGATGAGAGCAAGGAGGAGTTTCCCGGCTGATAAAGAGGGTTCATTCTCTAAAATGCTTGGACGTGGCAAACTTCTCTGTGTCAGAGGAACAGAAGTATTAGCTGTTTTAATCCCTTACAGAGAACAAAACTGACTAGGATTGCATCTCAGAATTTATTACAGGACTTTAATTCCATGAAGAGAAATGAATTTTAATTCAGGCTGGAAAGACCACCAAGCTAGAACATAACTAGCCTTGAGGCGAAGCACTGGAGGAGCGGGCCAGCATATTGGCTGTTGGGAAATGGAGAGGCTTCGCTGAGCTCTTGAAACCAGCTTCGAACTGTTAACTGGGAGAAAATCTCTCCTCCTAAATACTGCTTAAACATCACTGTATCAGGTGCAGTTGTCACCAAGGATCATCTGAGACTTTGCTTCTGGTCATCATCAGCAAGTTCTCAGCATGGGGAAGGAGGTAACAGGTGCGGGTCCTTCCTCCCTGCTCCTCTGAAATCGAAAAGCTTATTGTGAAATTTTGTTCACTTCAGTGGCAACAGGAGGAGGCCAACATCTAATCTGCAGAGGCTAGGATTACCAGGCTTGCGTTGCAGAAGATTAATGTTCAAGTTTGATTTTTCATGTGAAGTAGCGCTGTCTTGGATCTGCCAAACACAGCGGAAAAAATCTGACCCTTCAGCAGACAAAGCTAACTCCTATCGGATGGGTAGCCTGAAAAGTAGCAATCTGTTATTCAACTGGAAAGTCAGAGCGATAGTAATGGGATGGAAAGATGTAAACAACTGGTTGCATTTACCACCCCTTCCTTCGCCTTCCGAATGGGCCTGTAAAAGCAGAGGTAAACATCTGGGAGATGTTACTTAACGTACTATGAAGTCACAGTTTTTCCCCTCTTCTTTTCATCTTTACATTTTGCAAACAGCAAGTGGTATTTGAGACTCCCGAAATCCCTAAACGGCAGCTCCGCAAGTATCTCAACTGGTGCGTTTTTCCTTTAATGGTAGGAAAGGTTCTACTCCAACTCACCAGGAGAACTACGTCAGCACAACGCCACATACGTCTGTTCCTGCTTAAAGATCAACCTGAAAACACTTCCTCTGGCAAATTTTAATACTCTGGGAAATTCTAATCTGACAAATAATGCCACTAAACAACAGTTTGAGCAAGTGTCACCTTCACAATTGTTTCTATCAGAATAGTAAATGCAGAGAGATCTCCCTGCAAAGAGGAAGGGATTAGCTAGGGTAAAGTGCTAAGTTTAATAATAGAGAGGAATTTTCTTAGGAGAACAAAGGCTGTACAGTAATTTCACAAATCCTCTTGAACCTGAGAGATGTAAGGGCGTGAGGAAGGAACACAGGAATATGCAGGGTTGTGCGGAAAGAACCGGTCTGGGGCTGTGACTTGAAATTTGAATGTTAATCCAGCACTGTTTAAACTCTCTCCAGAAAGGTGAGAGGCTTTTTCTCAGCACTCTAAGCAGTATTACTTGCTGGGAGAATTAAAATTTCAAGAGTGAGAAAAACGAGTGGGGGTAATAGCGGCTCTTTTACATAGTTGTGCAAGAGAGTTGTTCCAGAAGCAGCTGCCTGCACAACTCTCTCTCTTTGCAATCGCTCTATTTCACCCTCAAAAATCGACAAAAAGCTGAATCCACTGAGTTCCTGGCAACCAGCTCTCCCCAGATACCTGTGGGTATTTTTCCGAGCAGCCAGCTCCCAGAGCCGTACCGTCAGGGCTTATCTCCTGCCGTGCCCAGCGCCTTAGCTGCAACAGCTTCAGCGGGAGCCTCCCCGATGCTCTCGCAGCTCGGTACCTGCTGCACAGATCTCACCCTCCGAGCCGAGCGCAGGGCGGGCGGTCCCCG